AACCAAAGACTTCGGCAACCAAAGACTTCGGCAACATCTGGCTTAAACCAAATTGGCGGGCCACCAGGTTGGGCTGATAATTCATAAAGCCAAATCTATTATTCCCTGTTTCGATTCGAAACGACAACATGGTAGGAGTCAGGAATGCCTTCCATAATGATTTCGACATGGCTGTTGTTTAAGGTGAAGCACCAGGGAAAAGGTTTCTAAACTACGACGGACCAAACCGTCAGTGCACAAAAAGGGCCATGCCTGGAACAAAGACGTTCGCTTCAGCAAACATAGTGAGGTATTTTGTAAAGATAGTTTTGTTGGGGGTTTCCTGTGTGGTCATCAAACCAAGTCGAACGCCTTCGATTGGATAATCCGCGTCGAGGCGTTGCATGGTGGCAGACGTAGGATAACCCATCTGATGTTCAAAAATGGCATTGAGCCAGTTCTGCAACAACCACATGGACCTTGAGTCGTTCATGGATTTGACGATGTCATGAACAAGTTTTATTCTTAAGGCCGACAGGACAAGAGAGTGGTAGAGGGAGGACAAAAACAATTTACTCAAGGAGACTTGACGACCCTTGTGTATCTGGATTACCAAGTTAATATAACTCTTGGCTATTTGTAGTGAGCCAGGGTAGAAGAGATAGTAAGACAGCCAAAGAGTCAGGAAGCCAATATGCTCTTCATCTGATACCTCAGCAAAACCTTTGTCGTGGTGATCCTCTATGTAGTTCTGGAAGCCAGCCCCGTCGAATTCAAAAGTGACGTTCGTCTCCAAAGTTGGGTCGAACGTCTCATCTAGAGGGGAGAGACCTGTAATAGCCTCCATGTCGAAGAGAGTTGGAGTTAGCATACCACGAGGGAATTGGAAGGTGTTGGTCGAACCATCCCAGAAAAATGTTGCAGCTAGCAAGAGACAAGGGTTGACCCTGTGGGCATTTCGAGACAACTGGATGGCGTCAAAGATGCCAGCCTTCTTCCACTGTTCTTGGCGTTTGTTTTGGACTTTGTTCAGCCATGAAAGGTAATCCTTATTGCCTAGGGTGGACATCAACCGAAAGACACGAGCTTTAGGTGCCATGAACTTTAAGTCGAGGGTTCCTCCTTTCTGAAAAGCTAGGAAGATGGTGGACAGAAAACAAGGAAAAAACGCCTGTAGCTCCTCGTGGCTAGGCTTATTGGCAGGATATAGGCCATGGAAGGCATGCAGTTTTTCAGCAACAGTGAAGAGGATGACCATCTGAGGCCTCCATGTTGCCACCACCTTTTCTTCAGCCGGCGTAGGATTTGGGAGAGGCTTGAGGGAATCAACCTTAAAAAGAACGAAGGCTATGGGGTTATTCCTAGTAGTATGGGTTTTGGAGACATTGGAAGAAGCCATTGAAACAGAATAGAGAACTTTAGAAGGTTGAAGACAAAGAAGTTCTTTCATAAAATAGAAATGAGATTAGAGTGGAGAAAGAAAAACTAAGGGACGAAAGTGCGGTATTTATAGGCAGTGCTGCATGCAAGTGAAGAGGAAAACGGTTGTAATTCTGAAAGTTAGTGTGGGTGGTTCAAAGACTTGTGACGTTAGGATGTGACCACCATGATTAGCCGTGACTTGGAAATCGTGGCGCAGAAGGTGTCATCATTACTTCAGACTATAGATGGTGCGTGGCAGAATCGATAGAAAGCAGTGATGATTTTGTTGCGTCACACCCAAACACAGTCGAAATTCCATAAGAGCCAAAATGCTCAGTTTCTTGGTCGACAGAGTATCCCGTCAAAACTGGGTTTTGAGGGGGCATCTTATTGACCGGAAGTTTTGACCAGAGAGCAACAACGTAGAGATTGGTCGACTGGCTCAGTAAGCTGTTGATGAAGAGGGTCGACGTCGACAAGAGGAAGATTGTGGGATCGACCCCCTATGGCGTCGGTCGACTGGGTTAGCTAAGTTCCATGCAAAGATATGTCTATTTGAGTTGGAAATGGATTTAAAATTCAAGGACATGGGAAGTTATAGAAGTAGTGGACGAACACGTGGCATCACCAGATTCAACATGACAGTTATTTATTTCTTTATTTAAAACAATGTATATTTTTGTTCTAGGGGCACGTTTTTGTAATACTGTAAGAAAAACACCCTGAGTATCAAAGCGTACGAGAAAAGAGTTTTCACTCCTACAAGACGTACGATTGCATTTTCCTTTTTATAAGTAATTTATGTCATTAATTCTAAATGTGTCTTTGCCTTGTTGTTTTTTTTTACTCCTTTTACATAAGTTATTTCTCATTTCTTTTTACATTTTTCTAAGTTTTCAGTTTTACTTGTCAGCCTATTTCAATAGACCACATTCCACCATTTTTCTCATACATCCCAAACCAAGTGTCCTGCGACTCGTTTGACCGGTCCCGCAAGTAAACATGCGTTAAGAGGTCAGAGGTCGTTCGCGCAAAAACTGCGTGCGAACACATATGTGATTCATGGTTTGTGATATTCTATAGATTGGGGAATAAAAGAAAAATTAGAAAGAATAGCAGTATCATTTGTAGAAGGAGGAAGATAATGAAACATATATAGATTATAAAAAAATGTAACATTTTTAAAAACTTGAAAGTGGTGATTAGAAACATCATAACACACAAAACTCTTATGAGAGTTGTTATACCCCATAAATTCGTATTGAATAGACTGCACTAAGCTTATTTCGTTCAAACGGAGGTAAGTGAACAAAACACACACATCCAAAAGTATGTAAAATATTATAATCAGGTTAAGTTTTAAAAATACGAAAGAAGGGAGAATCAAAATCAATACTCGTATAAGGAAGATGATTGATCAAGTATATGACTGCGGAAAGAGCCTCTACCTGAAATCGGGATGGCATAGAAGCTTGAAGAAGTAAGGTGCGCATTACATCAAGCAAATTATGATTATTTTGCTCCTCCATCCCATTTTGTTGGGGGTATTGAGACAAGATCGTTGAGACAAGATTCGTTTTTGTTGAAGATACTCCTAAAACTCATGAGACATATACTCACCTCTAGAGTCAGATCGAAAATTTTTAATACTTGCTTGAAATTGAGTTTCAACATATGTCAGAAATTTTTGAAACATAGAAAACACTTCATAATTAGATCGAAGAAAATATATCCAAGTAAAACGATTGTAGTCATCAATAAATGTAAAAAACTATTTATAGTGAGTATGAGATGTTACAGGAGACATTCTTCACACATCACTATGAATCATCTTAAAACAAGTGGAGGCACGATGAACACATGATAAAAAAGGAAGTGTTTTACTTTTAGCCAATTTGCAAACAGAACATGAAATAGAAGTAGTATCTACATGTTTATTTCTCAACAAACCAGTTTTAAGTAAATGAGACAAAACAATATAATTTGGATGGCCAGATTTTCTATGTCAATCCTCATAAGAGTTCAAAATACTATTACAAGTAAAAGATAAATTACTAGAACTAAACTGGAGTGGAAACAATCTTCTCAATTTATGTCACTTCGCGATCACCTTATCGACACCTGCTCCTGGACAAGACAACCAACACGGAAAAAATTAGCATTACAATTGTTATCCACCAATTGAACAATCGACAATAAGTTGGAAGCAAGTCTGAGTGATACAAGCATGTCACGAAAGTTAGAGTTTATGTCACCAACATCAGTGATAGAAAGTTTATTACCATTGACAATTTGAATTTACTAATTACCATTATAAGAATGTAAATGTGCAAGTATTCAGAGGAACCTGTCATGTGATTGGATGCATCCGAATCAAGAAACAACGGTTAAGAAACATTAGAAGACTTACCTTGAATTCCAAGGCCAAAAGAGCAGAAAGTATCATTTGTTGAATTAGTTCAAGATGTATAGTACCATTGCTTGATGCGCCACTATTGGAAGGACCAACTATAAAATTTGTAGTTGCATGAAATGCCTGCACCAAATGTTCTGTTGATCATGGAGGATGTGTGGGACACTCAAAGATAATATGTTCTTGCTGCTTGCAATAATTACAAAACTTCTTACCGCAACTATGAGAAATATGTCTAAATTGTTGACAAGAGAAACATGAAACTTGTCTCTTATCATGGCCTTTACCTTTACTTTGAGCAACTTATGCAACCGTCATAGGCTCGTAAATAGTAGCTACATGAGACATGGCTCCTTGAATTATAAGACGTTTTTTTTCTTAAAAGTTCTCCAACACATGTATCTAAAGAAGGAACTTAGATTATTAGTATTTTTAGTGATAATAAAAAAATAGAGAAAAAAATTAAAATGAAAGTGAGAAAATTTGGGAAAAAATGTGAAAGAGATTTAAAATTTGAATAAAGAGAGAGAATGAGTGTATGTAATATTTAATTGTGATTTAATTGATGGAGGTTGATATATGAATATCACTTGTTATGATGTAATAAAAAACGAGAACGAAAAAGATAAATATTAGTTGATTACTAAAATGTCTTTTTGTTAGTATAAATAATTTTGAGAATTTATACAATTGAATTGTATTAGATAGATAGTAGAATAGAAACTTGTAACTGAGGGGAGTTTGTAAAACAAAACCATAACAATGGGACACAATTAGAGAGGTGTGTGAAGTTCTTATTACTTAGAATTGCTTAGTAGCGTGCCATAAAAAGTAACTGTGATTTTCTTAGTGTTTCATAATTTAAAATGGAATCCAAAGCTGATTATTAGGCAAACATAGCTATTTTTTTCTCTTTAGCTGCTTCTGGCACACTAATTTCTTTACACTGTAGACTCTGGAATTCAACCTACTGTTTGTTTAGACTACTTAAACAATTTTCCTTCAACACAGCATTAAATTACCATACATTACCATACAGTGACAACCAAATCAAAGTCTAATTTATATTGGAATATCCCAGCACAGCATCACAATTCTATACATAAAAAACTTCACAAATTCTCACAAACTCAATAACACAAAAGGGATTACTTATGAAATTTATTTTTGCATTTGCTCTAGAGTTTTACTCCTCCATTTTGATGATACATCTGATGGACTCCCCTTTGAGCATGTAATCAAAAGCTTTGTTAATCTCTGAAAATGGTATTCTATGTGTAATGAATTTCTCAAGCTCCAGCTCCTGCAGTAAGTATTGTATTGGCAACATAAATAACATATCATTCTGCAATATTAGTTGATCCTCCTAAAATATTGCATAATGCAACACTAGAAACTTACCCCTTTCATGTACTTCTCTACGACATTGGGAAGATCAGTGCGGGGTTTGTAGTTTCCATAGAAGGTCCCCTTTAGTGTCCTCTCATTCAAGAAGTTCATAGGATGAGTTTTGAAGGCATCATCTTTGTTTGGCACTCCAACTAGTACAGCAACACCCCAACCCTAATAAAAACAAATCAATGTTCAGCTTTAGCCTTAGTAAGATTTATAGTTTCTTTAGGAACAAGTAAGAGTAAAACAATTTTGTTTTGCATACATCATGGACACATTCAAATGCTGAGATCATGGCCTGGATGTTACCGGTACATTCAACAGCACGATCTACACCTCCATTCGTCATTTCAGCAATTACCTGCAAACCAATTTTCACATCTCAATCTCTTTGTACAAAAAAACATTATAATCCTTAGCTTAGAAAACAGAATTATAATAAATTATCAATGAACGAACCTGTTGCACAGGTTTGTCGTGCTCTTTTGGGTTTACAAACTCATTTACCCCAAACTTCTTAGCTTCCAACAAGAAAAGAATAAGAAATGCCATCAACAAAAGAACATTCATTGAATTTATGTTGATCCAAATCTTCAAGGATTTCAGAGAAGTTAAAAACATTGTACCTAATTCAAATCGGCTGGAGACTAAATCAACTCCAATGATTCTTGATGCACCAGAGATCCTTGCCCCTTCAGCAGCCTATATTATGGTTTAAAGACAAAAGCACAAGTTAGTTAATATTGTCTCATTTCATTTCCAATCACAACGGCAACACTCACACACATATACAGAAAAAGGTATAAGAGTAATAACATACAGCGAGGCCAACAGCTCCAAGTCCAAAGATAGCAACAGAAGAACCAGGTTTTGGCTTTGCAACATTCACAGTAGCACCAAGACCTATAAGCATCAGTGCAAATTATATTAGAAAAACATAGACATATTTATATATTAATATCTAAAGTTAGAGCTCCTGTATGTGTGTATACCAGTGCATACTAGGGGTGGCAAAATGGATGGATTGGATGAATATGGATTGGATTGTTAATGGATGGATCAAAACAATCCATTAATCCATTAACAATCCACTAACTCTCTTAATAAAAATCCAATCCAATCCATCCATTAAGAGATAAAATCCATCCAATCCATCCATTAACATATTTCTAATGGATGGATATCCATCCATCCAAAAAATTAATTTAAAAATTCTTAATTATTTTTTAAATTTCATAAAAACATAATTTAAATATTTTAAATTATTTTTTAAAATTCTTAAAAAAACTTAAATTTTACAAAAAAAAAATAATATTAATATTCTTAATTATTTTTTAAATTTCATAAAAAAAACTAAATTTTACAAAAAACTCATTCTTCAAGTGTTTGATTAAAATTTTATATATTATTTTTATGCATATATCACATATATTAAAACAATTAATTTAAATTTGTGATTTAATAATATTAAACTAAAAAGTGAAATATATTTTGTATCTTCTAACTATAAGAGAAAAAAAATTATTTAGTGTCATCTATACTATAAATTAATATTGAATTATTATTGCAATATTAATAAAATTTATTTTTCTTTATAACATTAATTATTTTTTAAAATATATTCAAAATTTAATTACACTCATTTCTTCCTTTTCAACAAATAATTAAATATTTTATTTATAAAATAATTATTGTTACATTAAATTCTAAAATTGATAATTATTAAGAAAATTTATTTTTCAGAAAAAAATAATTAAAAAAAATAATTGAAAAAAAAAGTATGTTGAATAAAGATATGAAAAGTAATGAAAAAGTGACATCGGTAATGGCTTTTCAAAAATCACGTGAGAAAAGAAATTACAGTACCATATTAAAATCACATAATTCCACACTATTAGAAATAATATAATATTTATATAGCTGATACAATAGGCTATATGTACAAGAGTAGTTAGTCTAACGGTAATAATTAATTACCTTATTAATGTGAAATTAATATTAAAATGAATAATTAAATTGTGATTAAGAGTTGGTGTCAAAGAACACTTGTGAGAGACAAACATTATTAACACTAGAAGAAAAAAAATCTCCAATAATTTTCATCTTTAAATAAATTAAATCAACTTCAATAAAAATAATTAGAGTAAAAAAAGAAAAAGAAATAAAAAAAGTGAAATAAATAGTAATTAAGAGAAATATTTAAAATTACTAAACTGTCATTGATCCTCTACAAAGTTAATTTTTTATTTTAATGTTTCATTACCCATCAACAAATATGTACACAGATAAATGATATTTTCTTCAAGAACTAAAATTATAAATTTCATAACCTATGCGATCTTTCATTATCTACTATAGATATTTAGATCTAATTTATGATTATTAAGTTTGAGTCCAACTTTTATCTTTTAAGAAATTCTGTTTTTTAATATATATATTACTTACGTTATTTTTTATAAGAGAAAATTTATTTTTTAGATTTATTAAATAATTAATATATTTGATCAGTTTTTAAATTAAATATATTTATTATGTAATAAACTTAAAAATGTAAATTGTCCCTTGTAAAAAGAACAGAGATAGTATAATATATTCATATTTTCTATTAAATGTTATTATGACTAATAATTTTTATAACCAGTTTTCAGAATTCTTATTTTTAAAAATGAATTAATATATAAGAAAGTTTTAGTGTTTTAATGTCATAAATCTATTTTTTTAACTTCTATGGATTTATAAGATTCATTAACTAATAATATAAGATCCAATGGATTTATAAGATCCATTAACTAATAATATAAGATCCAATGGATTTATAAAATGAGATGGATGGATTGAATCCATCCATATGAGTTAATGGATGGATTGGATCAAATCCATTAAATTATTTTTTGTCTTACGGATGGATTGGATGGATAAATTATTGGATGGATTGGATGGATAATATCTAAATGGATTTTATTGCCACCCCTAGTGCATACTCCACAACTGAGAATGCAAACTTTGTCAAGTGGTGCATCAGGGTTGATCTTTGCAACACATCCAGCATGGACCACAGTGTATTCACTAAATGTAGAGGTGCCAACGAAATGGTGTACGGGTTGTCCCTTAATAGAGAATCTGGACTGGTTGTCGTTGAGCATGACACCTCTGTCAGTGTTGATCCTAAGAAGATCACACATGTTGCTCTCCTCTGACTTACAATGTGGACAATCCCCACACTCTCCTGTGAATACAGGCAGAGCATGATCCCCTGGTTTCAGGTGAGTGACACCCTCACCTACGCTCTCCACAATCCTGATCAACATCATCCCAACAACTATCAATATCATTCTTTCACATTACATACTAAATTACCAAGATAATCAAATGATTCAATTAATGATATATAAAGCTAAGATTTATAATAGGTGATTCAACTTTGAATTTTGAGTAGAGAAACATACCCTCCAGCTTCATGACCGAATATACGAGGAAACAATGGAGTCTGACCCTGAAACAGTGGGAAAAAAAGAAAGAAAACCAAGTTAAGCTATTGCAATTCATAACAGGGAGAAACAAAACACACTATTAGTCTTTGTAATATACCTTAGCTTCCCAAAAGTAAACATCAGTGTGGCAAAGGGAGGTGAAGAGTATCTTGAGACGAACTTCACCGGCCTGCGGTGGCGCCACCTCTACTTCTTCAATCACCAGCGGCTTCGCAGCCTCCCATGCAACCGCAGCTACAAGTATGATACAAATTTTCAAAATACAATCAAAATCAAAAAAACAGATGATTAAAACATATTAGGAAACAAAATGAAAATGAGTTTGAAAAAAGAAGGAGATGGTTTACCTCTGCACTTGATGATCTGACCAACTGTGTTCGACATGATTAACAAATGAGTGAGTTGTTTTGTTTCTTTACTTAGGTATTTATGTATGTTTGCGTAGAATCAAGTGCTTGTGAGTGAACTCTATTAGTATAGGAAAGGAAAAGGAACAGGGACAGACTTTGTCTAATAAACATAGTACTAAACATTAAAATATTAAAATACCGCTTTTGGTTTCTTTCAATTCCAGGCGGCGCGGCGCGTCGCCTTTTGGCTTTGACTAACCGGACCTGACACCAACTGTAGCCGATTGTTTTCGAATCTCGTTTCTTTTTATATTTGGTGTCCAGAAAGATGAAGATATATGGTAGATTTCAATATTTGTTTTGCACTACTATTTTTTTCATATATTCTTGTTACCTTGAGTGTTACAGTATCGTTTTTCTTAAGTTCTTTCTCCTAGTGGCAAGTGTGGCCTATCATGTTGTTTGTTTACACTCTTCAAACAAAAAATTATTTGTTTATTGAAATTAATGTGTGCATTCACTAAAATAATAACATTAAATAAAATGAACTGGATTATATTATACTACGGAATATTCTCTCTCATTGTTTTTATGTCTCTTGTTTTTCTTTCTATTTTTTGACTTCCATCTTGCATAATCGATATATTTTTAGAACATGGTATAATAGAACAAACTAACAATTATGAAAGTTGAAAAGCTTAATATAAAATCCACTCTTATCATTTTTTATATATTTGATCATTTTTATTTTTATTTACAATTACAAACATTTGCTAGTTGGCAACTTGACAATCATGTCAATATTTTTAGGTCGAGTTGTGTGAATAAAATAGGAAATCAAGTTAACAAGAAGAGTTGATGATTTATAATGCAGCTGAGAATTAGATTGTTATATCCGTCTAAGTCTGAATTGTTGGTGCACAAAGTTAAAAAAGATGAATAGAATAAGAGAATATATTTATATTCTACAAATGACGACTACAAAGTTGTAAGAAAGAACTACATTAAATGACATCTACCACTAGTCTATTTATGCACATAAAAATTAGGGTCACATAAGCAACATACTAAAGTACTAAATTACCCTCTAACAAAGTTTAGTCACTAAGTTTTGTAAAATATAAATTATTTCTAACATCATCCCTTAATTTATATTTACCCAAAACTAACAACACCAATTTCATCCCTTAAACGAAGAAATTGATTGGTCTTGATAGCCTCGTCAGAACATCTACCAACTGCTTCTGGGTGCTACAATGTACAACTTCTAGCACTCCATTCTGAACCTGATTTCTCAGAAAGTGATACTTAGTCTCAATATGCTTGCTTCTCCCATGCAGCACTGGGTCTCTGGCAAGATTGATTACAAACTTATCATCAATCATCAGCTTCAGAGGCTTGTTAACTTTGATCTTCAGATCCTACAGTAAGTTTAGAATCCACACAGCTTGACATGCAGTCATAATGCCTGCGATATATTCAGCTTCACAAGTTGACAGCGCAACAACAAGTTGTTTTTTAGAACACCGAGAAATAGGACCTCCCAGAAACTTAATCAAGTACCCAGAAGTACTTTTTTTGTCAACTCTGTCTCCACACCAATCAGAATCTGAATAACTCAGAAGTTCTGATTCAATCTTTCTTCCAGAAGGGAATAACACTCCATACTTCAGAGTTCCCTTTATATACCTCATAATTCTGACAACAGTTTGGTAATGGGACCACTTAGGTTTACTCATGAATCTACTAAACATTCCAACTGCATAACAGATATCAGGTCTGCTACTACACAGATACCTCAAAGAACCAACCAACTGTTTGAAGGTTGTAGCATCCCCATCCTCACCATCAGAATCAAAATCCAATTTTTAATTTGTATCTGCAGGTGTGATAACAACCTTACAGTTCTGCAGCTTAAATCTCTTTAGAAGCTCAAGTTCATACTTCAGCTGATGTAAAATGATATCCTTCTCAGAGTATAAAAAAATTCCTAGAAAATATGTCATTTTCTCGAGATCAGACATTTCAAACTCATTCATCAACACCTTCTTGAACTTAGCTATCTCTTGTTCAGAACTCCCTGTCAACAGTATGTCATCAACATACAAACACACTAGAATCATATTGCCTTCAGAAGTATGTTGAACATAAACACTGTACTCCATCTCACATTTCTGAAACCTCTGCTCCTTAAAAAATGAATCAATCTTCAGATTCTAGAATCTGAGCGCTTGCTTCAATCCATACAAAGCTTTATGTAATTTGTACACCATCCCTTCCTGATTCTTTTTAATAAAACCAGGAAGTTGTGATACATATACCTCTTCTTATAATGGACCATTCATAAATGCATATTTCACATCTAAATGCATCAGAGGCCAATTCCTGTTAGCAGCTATTGCAATCACCAGTCTAATTATTTCATGTCTCGCTACAGGTGCAAACACTTCAGAATAATCCAACCCAGGTTTCTGTAGAAATCCTTTTGCTACTAACTTCGCTTTGTGTTTTCCAATTGATCCATCTGGCTTTAGTTTATGCTTGAAAAACCATCTGATGTTGGTGGCTTTCTTGTCCTTTGGAAGTTTTGTCACCTTCCAAGTCTTGTTCCTCTCTATGGCATCAAGTTCTTCTTTCATGGTCTTCAGCTAGACTTTCTGATCAAGAGTTTATTTCTTGCTTACGGGTTCAGAGTCTACTAACATGGCACACTAAATAACTTCTCTTTAAGAATCTACTTCAGTGTCTCATAGGATGTCAAATTCTCCAAATCTTCTCAGAATGTTTCTGATTCTCTGTGGCCTCTGACCTCGTTTAGAACCTCCTTCAGATGCATGAACTTCAGATGTTCTATCTTCAGAAGCTCTTGCTTCAGAAGTTTGACGTCCTCCAGAACCTTGACAACCTTCAGAGTTTGGAATATTCTCAGAATCTGAATCATCACCAAAATCTGGATTAGAATCATCTTCACCTTCTGAGTCTCCTCCAGAGTCAGAATCACCATTAGAGTCTACTCCAGGTTCAGAATCTTCTCTAGTTTTGACTCATCTTCAGAAACTTATAGTTCTGTACTTTCTTCAGGAGTTCTCACATTAGAGTTCAGTTGAGACTTGTTCCAATCCCAAGTTTATGATTCCTTTACAATGACATCTCTGCTGAATTCAACTTTATTAGTTTCTAGACAATAGAGCTTGTAAGCACCTGTACTGTGGTATCCCACTAGTAACATTACTTTGCTTTTATCATCCAGCTTCTGTCTTCTGACTTCTGGAACATGTTTGTAGCATGCAGAACCAAATAACTTTAGATGGCTAACACTTTGCTTATCTCCAATCCATTTTTGAGTAAGAACTATTTCCTCTAGCTTCTTCGTTGGACATCTATTTAGCACATATGTTGTGGTGGCAACAACTTCTCCCCATAAGGTATGAAGAAGCTTTTTCTTCTTCAGCATGCTTCTCGCCATATCAAGCAAAGTACGATTTCTTCTCTCAACAAGACCATTGTGTTAAGGAGTATAAGGAGCAGTAACCTCATGCTCAATTCCATTCTTCTCACAGAATTTTCTAAATTCAGTGGAGTTATACTCAGCTCCGCCATTAGTTCTGAGAATCTTCAGAGTCTGACCATTCTGATTCTCAGCCTTCATTCTGAACTTCTTGAATTCAGCAGACACCTCGTGTTTGAACTTTATAAGGGATACCCATGTCATTATTTTGAATTCATCAACAAATGACACGGATTATTTATTCCCTCCAATCGATGCTATTGGAAATAGACCACACACATCAAAATGCACTACTCCCAAGGCATGCTTTGCTCTTGGAGCTACTTCTGACACAAATGCCAATCTTGTTTGCTTTCTTTCCATGCACACTTTTCATGACTTCTCAGACTTCTTAATTATAGGAATTCCATGTATCAGCTTCTTTGAATTCAGATGCCATAAGCTTCTGAAATTTTGATGACCAAATCTTATGTGCCACAACTTACTTTCCTTCACAACATTTGTTACACTAAAACATTCAGAGTCTGCAGTTCTTACATTCACCTTGAATGTTCTATTCCTTCCCTGTTCTGACTCCATTTTCATCTTTTGATTATAATCATACAGCTTCAAAAGATTTTCCTTCATGGTAACTGTAAAACCTTTCTCAATTAGTTGTCCCACACTCATCAGATTGCTTTTCATGCCAGATACATACCACATTTTCTGAATCAATGTTGTTTTCCCATTGTTCAGAATGACTCTAACATTTCTCATACCTTCAGCGTTGAGGTATTTATCATCAGCACATATGATTTTTGTCCTCTTTCCAAAGTCAAAGTCAATTAGCCTTTTCTTATTTCCATTAAGATGATTTAAACAACCAGTGTCCATATACCACCGGTCTGTCAAATTCATATTATCAGATTCATAAGCCATCAGTAGCACAGATTCATCATCAAAACTTCTGACTATATCTATTTTATCAATCACCAGCGGCTTCCTAGCCTCCCATGCAACCGCAGCTACAAGTATGATACAAATTTTCAAAATACAATCAAAATAAAAAAAACAGATGATTAAAACATATTAAGAAACAAAATGAAAATGAGTTTGAAAAAAGAAGGAGATGGTTTACCTCTGCACTTGATAATCTGACCAACTGTGTTCGACATGATTAACAAATGAGTGAGTTGTTTTGTTTCTTTGGCTACGTATGTATGTATGTGTGGAATCAAGTGCTTGTGAGTGAACTCTATTAGTATTGGAAAGGAAAAGGAACAGGGACAGACTTTGTCTAATAAACATAGTACTAAACATTAAAATATTAGATTACCGCTTTTGGTTTGTCTGAATTCGAGGCGGCGCATTTTGGCTTTGACTAACCGAACCTGACACCAACTGTAGCCGATTGTTTTCGAATCTCGTTTCTTTTTATATTTGGTGTCCAGAAAGATGAAGATATATTGTAGATTTTTATATTTGTTTTCTACTACTATTTTTTTCATATATTCTTGTTACCTTGAGTGTCACAGTATCGTTTTTCT